TATTTTGAGTTATTGTGCTGATAATACTTCTGAATCTGAGTTTCTTCACTTTCTTCAACAATTCTTTGAGGTGAACAATTTGACAATTAACAGAGCAGAGGAAATATGTTTTAATAAAGTTTAGAGAGGTAATAAAATCCACTTCATAAGTGTTTAACTTGTACTGTGTTAAACAAACATTTACAGTGAGCTCATAAACCAGCTGTTAGAGGATTTACCTTATTGTTCACTGACGGCTGAGTTCGCTGACTAGCTTTGTGTAAAGTGGGTTTCTTCCAGGAGAGAGTGAGCGGTTCACACGGTGGAGTCAACAGGTGAAGTGAGCAGAAGTGAGTGAACACGTTCTATGGAGCCGCACCGAACGTTCCGTCTCTGCATAAATGAAACGTTCTCTGATGCCCACGTTCATTTGGCTATTCTGAGCTGACGTCACAGGGTGATGTCACGTAGTTGCTGGGATCTCACAGACGGCGGCACGTAATAATTAGTATGAGATATGTTAATTATGGTCACCTGATATGAAATGGGTAACGTTGATAAATGTTTGTAATATTGTGTCATGCATGTAGTGTAATTATGCCCAGCCTGCATGGCCTGACAATACACCATACATTCATATTAATCAGAACCACAGCGCTGTGTAGGCCTATACATTTACAAACAATACAAAAAGTAAAGAAATAGACCTTCATTGTCTACAACAAAATCTATAAATCATTGTCTGACAAAAGTTGGCCTGTGTTACTGGAGAAACCATGAATTAATCAGTCTGTTGGCAAACAGCAATCATACACCAGGTGTATGATTTTAAGGTTTAGTCAAGATATTTTTATATTTATTTCATCTCCACAATAGTCCAATGCATTATAATGAATATAACATTGTATATTTATGCTCATCTCACTTATCATTTGCCGTCAAAGCTGTGAATATTGAACTCATGCTGAAGTTCTGCTGGTTGAGTTTCAAATGAAAAAAATAAGAACAGACAAAAGTTATTTTACAACAGATGGTGTTTTTTCATGTTCTAGCTTTAAAGTTATAGTCATGACCCAATAGGTACAGTATATGTTTGGCTACTGTAGGGTTAGGACTGATAATATATAATTATGGTTGCATCACTCAATTAATTTTATCTTCCTCCAATATTATGCTATGATGTTATACTAGTTCAAATGTGAGTTTATATACGACATATGACAAAAGTAACTTTAGGCTCCTCGGTTGATCTCCACATGGCTGTGCTCAGAAGGGTGACTACTGAAGACGTTCTGTCCAAAGTCATGTTCAGGAACAGCCGATCACATCTTGTCCCTCAAAAATGATGAGTGGGCTATGAGCAGTTTGACTAATAAAAATGTGCTATCATCATAGCAGAAACATTAGCCTACAATCAACTGTAGGATGTTGATGGATAACTTACTGAACTTAGAGAAGAGTATTTCCACCACTTCACAGAAAATAATATGTATTATGCTGATCAATTCTGGCTATCTATATCTATATTATGCTTAATTGACGGAATTAACTGTTAATTTACATGCAAAGGATGAGTATTTAACTGTATGTTACAGTTATTATGAAATACTGTTAGATACCATTGTAAATCCACCGTAAATTTACAGCAATTCATTACAGTGTAGAACATGTCAGAAGCACCACTGAAAGGTGCTATAAGATTTTCAGCATTTCTATTGCCTCCATATGGCTCTCAACATAGTGACAGCTAAATACAAAACACTGTATGTAACTTTTTTTGAAGTTAATGGTACTATCATAGCCATGATTCTGTAGGGGCCCCTCGGTCCGTGTGGCTGGCTGTTTGTGTGTAAGTTTCTCAGCACAGGCCTGTATTCACAGCACGGGGACAGAGACCTGAGTTTGAAAATGGAAAAGCTGAGTGTGAATGGGCATGCCTGTCCCTGTGAAAAACACTGAGCCATTCAGCCCCGAAGTCTCTGGCCACTCTGACAAGTAACTGGTCTAAAAAGAGGAGAGAGGAGCTGGGCAGGCTGGGATGGGGGGTGAGCGGGTGGAAGGCTGGCCCTTAGGGCTGGGGGAGGTTTGGGTAGAAGTGGATCAACCTTCTCTTTCCCACTATGTTCATTATCACATATCCAAACAGTGACAGACTCTCCAGTCTAATGCTCTTCAGCGCTCATAACTGATGGGAATAAAAACTCACCCTTCAAAAACTTCTCTCTCACTTTTCTTCCATCCATGAAGGTTCATGGAGAACATTTAGGAAAAGTTCTGGAGAAAATGTTATATTATATTTTTGTCATCTAAAAAGAGAAATTAGTGCGCATTGACTTTATCTGTGGTTATTAAACCACTTGTTTCAGCTCTATTCCTCTCTGTTAACATCATTGTTGTGAAGTGAACTAATGTGTTAAGATTCTGATCATATTGGGCTCTTAGGTTTATTTTCTGTCTTCATTTCAGATGTGAGTGGGTGCGTTTGTTCAAAAGAGTTGTGCTTCGCCTTATAGTGCACTTCATTTGCCTCTTTTATCAATTGTTACGGTTTCTGAATATATGAGACATGCTGGTTTTAACCACCTGTGGTAAAAATTAACATATAAGAGTCTGTTCATTCTTCCATATATATTTCTATTCTCTCTGAACACATTTCCTTTTTTTAGAGAAAGTTATGTGAGATGACTCCTCTGATTAGCTCTGCTCTTCTTTCTATTTCCTCGTCTCAGCCCTCTGTGTCACGGTGTGTGTAAATCTCACTCGAGTCAGGAAACTTGTCAGAATACTCATATTTGATTGGCTGAGCTGCATCACCTGATGTGATTTACAACGCATTGGTCGGTGTGTTTCCTGCACCGCTGAACAAGTACCGTAACAGCTGAATAAGATGCGCCGGTTAAAATTTAAACTTTTTGTCTAAAATGAATAATTCCAAGTTATCTATCGGTTTTAGGTCCTGAGTCTGGATGCAACTGCGTCTAGGTCCGGATCCAGTCCGCCAGTTGGGGACCCTTGCCCTAGTGCACACTATTGAGACGGGCCCTAGTGGACCCTAACCCTTGAATCTCCTTACAACGCTTGAGATATGTTTATTTGTTTGGTCTTGAACAGGGTACCTCCAAAAGTGTACATACAATTTGGTGGAAAGTAAAGCCATGAGCCAAGGAAGAACTGAAAAAAGAGGAGTGAGATGCAAAATTCAAACTCATTTTCAGGATTCCTTTGCTCAAGACAAATCTATTAAGACTACAGATTTTCCACTGCTTTAATGTTTCGTCATTGGTGAAATTTCATCAAATACTTGTACATCTGTTGATATACCATATTGTTTGCAAACTGGTTCCCTATTGCATGCATGTACAATATGACCTACAGCAAAATGGCATTAACTCAGTGGTCATAAGTCTGACTCACTTTCAAGTTTACATAATAGTGGTGCAGGAATGACTTTTGCAATTTTGCGCTTCCAGTTCCATTGTCTCAAAGTCAATGGGTCAGAAACATCCATCTTCATATGTGCATATTATAAATAATGATCTAGTTCAGATCCATGATGCATTCAGTATTTATTTCTTTGCACATATTGTATAGTTTACAACTTACAGAACACTTGACCTGTATATAGACAATTTATTTCCTATTGTATTGTTGATAATTGGTGCTTTTTATATATTTAATATTTATGTAAAAAGATATTCTTTCATTACTTGTGGACTTAACTGCCCTATGATTTACCTTTATTTGTCCAGCTTTGTTGTTGCTTTGGAAGCCCAACAATAACATTTATTTTGTTGATAAATAGTAGTAGTTTTTTTCAAAAGGAGAAATTAAAAAGTCATGAATATAACAAAACTCATTAATTAATTTGCCAATATGGCCACAAATGTTCTCAAGCAAATACAATATAAGCAAGGTATCAATTTCAAAAATGTATCCGTCCGATGTGTGCTACGAGTTAAAAGGGTAGCTTCACATTTTTCTGTTAAAAGGGTAGCTTCACATTTTTCTGTCTGGCCGGTATGAATGTTTTCAGCAAGCGAAGCCTGTTTCAGTGTTCACATGGCCACCTGACAGGTTGACTTCCAGACAGGAGATAAAAGTAAAAAGTGAATCTATCCTTTTATCTGACACTATCCGTAATGTCCAGTAGATGGCGAACATGCACTTCCAATAACCACCACGGGCTCATATTGTAGGAAACTGTAGCACCAAATCAAATGCCATTTATTGCAACTTTTTTTTACATTTAATAGCTAGACTGGATATGTACTGCAGATATCCGTACTTTAATTATTCCTAAGAAAAGTGACGTCACCTTTGCCATTCATGTATATTGGCTTTCAGATACAGACACTCACAATTCCGTTTTTGATATCTAGAATAAACATTCTGGACATAATTCTTCATAGGAAAAATTATTTTCATATATCTACTATCCTATTGTTATAGGCCATCATTTCAATTTCTTCTATCAATCATGTATTGTGACTAGTAAATGTACTTATGGATCAATACCTGACATTATTGCTATAGTAAAAATGCAATTTCAAATTTCAGATTCAAAAATTTAAATTATGACTAGAAACAATGTCATTGTATATATCTACAAATGTATTGTGGATATCTGTCCTGAATATCCAAAAAGATAATACCTAAGTTATGATTAGCAACAATTATATAATAGATATCTGAAATTGGAGTTTTTCCTTTTTAGAATTATTTTGCAGATATCCAATATTTTCACTATAGATGTCAAACATATCAAAAATAAAACTGTGGATAGGACAAACGTCAGTGTGGATATCTGAAATGTTATTTTAGACCAGGAAGAATCAAATGACAGATAACTACAATAGACTATGTATCCAGTCCAGGTATTTAATGTTAAAACGGCCACACAAACACTAGTGTAAAAAGTATAAATATAGCAATATCATGAAGCAATTTAAATGAAATAAAAATATGAACTTAACTCTACTTATTTTCTTCGTCACGTCACGTCACGCGCCAGTTAACTTCATACGTGCGCGCTTCCGTAAAGCAGTGATAAAGATGGCGGCCTCCGCCGCACTAGGTAAGCCGACTTCACCGACAGTTCAGACAGTATATTTTTATTGATTTTCCCGAGGAGGTATAATCTCCAGTACGCCACATTAGGTGCGCAATAGTTTTGCAAGTGCAAGAGTCCAGCTGCGAAGGAATTTTGACGGTTTAAAACATTAAATTTAGCTTGAGAAAGTGCTGTCATATGCTGCTAGCTAGCTAGCTAGCTAGCTAGCTCGTTCGTTGGCTGGCTAAACTGGCCCACAGTCTTTGAGGAACATTCCGCACATCGGCAACAACTTTTGATTTACCAATGTGAAGCTATCCGGTCAAAAGACAAGGCTTCATATGGAGTCACCGCACACCACAAAGCCCATGTGTCTGGGGGTATCTGGGTTTCTCTGTTCGCAAGGCGGTGACGCCCCTGACTAGCTTGATAGCTGGAGAACTTGTTTGCTTAGATAACGTTAGCTAGGCAGCAACTGTAGAATCGCGGCTATCCGGAAGAAATTCTGAAAAGTAAAAGGTATTTTACCCTTGCTGCTAATGTCACGGGACCAGTCACCCACAGCGGTATGTTTTTAACATTAAAAATAGGTAGGTAACCCCGTTAATTGGCTAGCAACGGCGATTTAGTATTTCACCCCTGGCTACCCCAAAGCTAATAACTTCACTTTACCATTCAAACACTGTCCGTCTGAGGACCCTGCTGTCACGAATGAAGGCTCAAAGTACAGTGTTATTATATACATATTCACGGCAATTTGATAATGTACTAGTGTAAACCCAAGTACGTTTTACTGAATATGTGTGGTCAGTTTAAAAGTGGATGTCGCAGATTGTGTTTGGCCATCAATGTGTTACAGATGACCCTTTTTTCGCTGCCTGCCATTATGGCCGACACGTATTTAATTAGCAATTTGAAATTTGTGCTCTAAATGAAGAAATATAATTTGATCATTTTGACATCATGTAATATAAATAATGTTGTCCTTCAATGTTTGACACTATGTATATTTTCATTTTTAAAGATGGAATTTGTGATAATGACATTATAGGTGAACGTCAAAGTAGATGCATGTTCTTTTATGAAGCCCTGTCTGCATGACCACACACTGCTCAGGTGAAGTTGGGTCAGGGTTTTTTCCTGGCTCATACTCTGGAGGAGGGTGGTACCGTCCTGATCATGTGCATGTTCTTGTGCTACTTTCAGACCTGACAAACGTACCCCATCTTGTCAGCAACATGAATTATTACTTTTTAACTGCCTGTAATAACCAGGCGAGGTGTGTGCTCACGATCCTCCACGCGAGCTGGTGTGTAAAGTAGTCGCTGATTCTGCGAGGCCAAGTGTTAATTTAATAAATTCAACATACTTGGATGCAAAAGAAACATACAGCCACAAAATATACACTGCTGCCTTAGGGAAACAAGACTTGGTCAGAACCAAGGCTGGACCATGTATGGTCAGCCGTCTCAGGCGTTTTCAACTGTCAACAGTGCAATCGCACCTTTTTGACCTGGAATATGAATGTAGAAAGTTACATTAAACTAACAAAACAGTCGTTAATCATCATGCCCAACTGAGTTATTTTCTGAGTCATAGTGTGGTTAGCAGGTTGATACTATGTTATAGTAGAAATCACTGACAGATTGAACTATTAGAATCATTTTATACTATCAGTTTTTAAAATAAGTGACTAGTTGGTTTTATTTTTCACACGCACCTTCCTACAGCTTTAGTCAGCAACCTCTGTTCAGGGAAAGTATTGTATATGATTGAATTACCTTAAGTGTGTGAATAGAAATAATTCACGTCATGATCCTTTTTCTCTCTGTGTGTGTGTGCGTGTAGGCTGTGTAGTTCCACGCAGCTTTCGGCTGCTGGAGGAGCTGGAGGAAGGTCAGAAGGGAGGTGGAGACGGCACAGTGAGCTGGGGCCTCGTGAGTGACGACGACATGACACTAACTCAGTGGAATGGCATGATCATCGGCCCTCCCAAGGTGAGCCGCCCAAAGGGCCTACGACGCTCTTGCATCACACAGCTTTTCTCTCCAGCACTGGATTTAAAAATGGGATAAGAACACATTTTCTTGAAAGACAAGAAGGGGATCATCTAACTCTTGGCAGCACTTTTCAAAGTTTTACAATAAGAAAACCTTTGAGCCCTCCAAACGCTAACTGTGTCGGGTTGTTCCTAATCAGTAGAGTTCTCATTTAATTTAGAACCATGTTGCTTGTGCTAACCTGAATCAATGGCTTGTCTCATAAGAAATGGCAGTAAAATGGTAAACAGAGGCTGAGTTACATACTCATAGTAGTGAGGGCTGGGAAACAGCGTTTAATGGAGTGCATGTGGTGCATGAGGTTGCAGGTGTGACGCCAAGTCTCAGCTAATGAGCAGCAGGAGTACTGCAGATCCCGTGGTGATTAAGGTGAACTAGAAATTTGAAAACATCAAGATGCAGATTTTTGAGGAGCAGCAGGAGACGGGCAGTTTTATTGCAGTTTGGGAGAACCTCCCTTAAGTCATAAGTTATCTTTTGGGGGGTGTAAAGGTCCGTAGGTGTCACGGTTCGGTCCATACTCCGGTTTAGGAGTCACGGTTCGGTGTGAATTCAATATGGCGGTAAAAAAAAAAAACATTTGCAAAATGGTTTATTTATTTTTTTCTCATTTATTTTAAGAGACACAGTCCTCCTGCTGGGGACCGAGGTAGCATTTTGCCTTTGGGAAACTGGTAGTGGTGATCGGCACATCTGGGGGATGCCGTCAAATGTTGGATGTGTTTCCATATATGTTGTCATCCTACAACACACTGGCCTCGTCTGATACACAACTCTCTCTCTCTGTGTTGCTGCTGTAGCTGACCGGAAAGCGCTGCTTTGTCATTTGTGTTGGTTCAGCTTGTTGTGCTAACCTCAGGTCATGTTGCTAAGGGCGTACAGCATCGCACTGACAGCTTGGTGCCGTTGCAGCACCTTCTATTGGGTTGGTGCTCTCAGAACTGTAAAAAAGACCAGGCACTGCAACTGTGTGGAAATTTAGCATATGATGGTTGCATGTCATTAAAGTGAAACTTTTCATCCAAAACACACTCACCCTATAATTTGATTTAAAATTTAAAGCAAAAATGTTGTGACCTCTGATTTCTGTGACATTTCAGATCCACTTCTTTGTACATGCCGCTGGTGGATTTACATGGGAACGAGCTATATGAGGCGATGGTTTTGTTTGTCAGTCAGTTGGGCCATTAAGCTTTTCATTCAGCATACCAGGGTCTGCCCCCACGGCTGAATGCACTGAGGAGCTGGATGTGTTGAGTTTGTGTAGCTTCTGTTGTAGCGCCCTAGAAGCTCTGAGGTGGAAGGTGCAGGTTTTCCTGAGCGCCAACATTGTGGGTGGTTGTGCTTTCTTTGGTGGCACTTGCATACTGTCTACAACGTTAAGATGATGTTCTACTTCCTTGTGTGGTTGAGAAAAAAAGACCAAAATGCAGGCATGCACTAGTTAGTTTGTGTTTTTGCAGTATTGAATGTGGCAGCCTTGATCCTCGTACTGCTGTGCTACAGGAACAAAGTAGACAGCATATACTGTATAAATGTAAGGTTGCAATGGCAGTAAGTTGGGGTGTGAGTCCCCAAGGTGACTTTAGCATTTGTAGCTGTTTCTCCTATTTTCCATCAGCTAGAATATTATCTATTTCTATGCAGTTACCTTGATGCTCGTCATCGGTGCCACCGGGTCAGATTGTGAAATCCTTCTGATTCACACCTCCACATTTCCCTGACTCACTCTGTGAGCTAACCTGTCACCGTTTCTTTGATTGCAGACCGTCTACGATGGCAGGATATACAGTCTGAGAATAGAATGTGGATCCAGGTACCCGGAGCATCCCCCTCATGTCCGCTTTGTGAACAAGATCAACATGAGCTGCGTACACGGTTCAAACGGTGGGGTGAGTATCCAAATTTCACCCCTCATCCGTTCTCACCTGTCTGGTCAGCAGTCTAAGTTCGTCATTCATTTCAAGTATTTATTGGTGTGCTGTGCACTGAATCAGACATACACATCATTTACAGAGTCATGCTCTGCTAGTAGGAGCCGCTGCTGCCAGTTGGGTTCGAGACTTGACTTATGCTTCTGTCTCTGTGGTAGCTTTTAGTAGTAAGTTGTTAGGAACCCTATGATTTAGGAACTTTGTACCGCCATTAATGGTACAGTGAGACTCGACAGGTTACAAGTTTCATATGGCCTGTTTCTTTCACTGGTCCCATTTTAGGTAGATTGTATTATTTTCTATAGGAAAATGAAACAGGTTTTGTCATCAGTGAACTCTCCGTAGCATGGAATGGCCTTGACCAGCCATTGTATTTTGGAAAGGCTAACAGATGTCAATTTAAATATGAACCCTACAGACTAATCCACTGAATCCGATGAATCCGTCGTCACATTGACCTACAGAGCGTCGCTGTGAAGCAGACACGGCATAAAGTAGTCCTGCTTATTGTTTCGCCCGCCACATTGTCAGCAATGGTCTAAACACAAGCAGATGGTAAAGTAGGTAAAGATAGTTACAAGTGCTGAGAATCTCAGTCTATTTTACCATTTTGATTTAGATTCAGTGGCCGTATATTTACAAAGTATCTTCTGTTACCTTCAGGACTCCTCCTAAATAGTTCTACAGATTCAGAGCTAAAAGTTTCATCTTAAAACCTTTTCACAAAGCTGCCAGGAGTCACTTTTAGTCAGGCACCAAGAGAACCGCTAAGCTAAGAGTGAGGGGTGGAGTTGACCCAAGTAATAGCACATAGTGTGCATGAAATCAGCTTTATCCATTTAGTTATTGAAACCAGAAACCATTTTTATTGTCATATACATATACACATACACGAAATTTGCCTTCTGCATTTGACCCATCCCTGTATATAGGGAGCAGTGGGCTGCCAATGATAGGCGCCCGGGGAGCGCGTGGTGAATAATTGTTTAATGTACACTTAAGGAACTGTCAAACAAATGTGGTCTGAAGAGGGCATCTGTGTTTTGATGGAGTAGTGAGAGTTGTGCAAACCATCATCTGTGGTGTGATTGGATGAACTGCCCCACCACTAATACATTAATAAAAGCATGTGACTGACTATATGCAGGGCTCAGTGACTGATGAGTCCTCTGCCTCAGAATGTGGTCCTGTGCAGGCTGCTCTCATCCCAAAAATGAATGCACCATAATTCATAGATATCCCTCAAAATGTTTTTGTAAGTTATGCACGCAATCTTGAACGAGGAAGTATAAAGCCCCCAACAAACTGGCGGGGTCCAACAAACACTAATCACCCAGGAGACCGCTGTTTGCTCCCCACGTGGAATGAGAAGTTAACTTTGATTCATTTGTCACATTACTGTAGTTCTTTTAACCCAAATGACAATCTCTTCCTAAACCTAACTCAGTAGTTTTCTTGCCTAAGTTGCTTCCTGTCAAAACGGAAGTTTATTTTGAAAAGTCCTCTTGCATGTAACGAGTGGAAAGTGACACACATTGCTTGCTTTTGGAAAAAAAGTTAAAGAGTAACTTTTCATACAAGATATCATATGAACCGCTGTGTGAGGATAGGTTGTCATGTGTGTGTCAGAGGAAGCACATGTGAGGAATGTTGCCATGCTTTTATATTGCAGCATTGAGGTGTGAAAAGTGTCACCAAACTTGTGACTGCATTCAGCTCACCGTCGCCCAGACTCACTGTGACGTAGTCCCGCCCCCTCTCGAGCTTTCTCTGCAGATGGCACACACACAAACACTGGCGCAGACAGGCTCATACTCTGTAGGGCCAACGTTATTCTGTTGGTACCCTAAAAACGTTCAGTACCCAAACCCCAACTTCTCTCACACTCAGGAGCTAGTTTAGCCCTAAAATGCTTTTTAGACCAAAAATATTTTTAGAAGTCACTCCTAACTTTGCCAGATTTCTTCTTGTTACTTTTGTTTTCTAAAAGTGGTCCTCTTAAAATCATTTAATTGCATTCTTTGTGCCAACACACAGGATTGGCTACATTGAAGCCAGGCTCTAAATGTCTCTCTTGTTGAGGCCTTAATAAAAAGGATCTCCTTCTCTCCTCTCCTCTCAGGTGGACATAAAGGCGCTGTCGGCACTCTGTAGGTGGAGAAACTCCTACAACATCCGGATGGTGCTGCAGGAGCTCAGACAGCACATGATGCTAAAAGAGAACAGCCGGCTCTCCCAGCCACCCGAAGGCCAGGTGTACAGTAACTGAGGACCTGCTGCTATCCCTCCCTGTCCCTCTCTCACACACACACACACACACACACACACACACACACACACACACACACACACACACACACACACACACAAATCTACCACTGTCAAACTACATCATGTTATCCAAGACTCTCCACTCCCACCCACTCCCTCCCCTCAGCAGCCTCCCATTGGACAGAGAGAGGGATGTGCATCCAGACAGCCCCCAACACAAATACTGTACATCTCACTCATGTTATTTTGTCATATCTCGTGTGTGTTCTACATCCAGATTGTAAAATAATCAATGACCTGATTGAGTGTACCAATAATGCGAGTGTGTGCTGCGTTCTTCACTTAGTCCCTGTTGGGTAGTGCAGTGAGGGATTTGAATCAACTCGGCAAAACAAATCGACTTGTGTAACCCCCCCCCCCCCCCGACCTAAATGTTTGCATCATTTGCGGGTCCCCTCATGGAGATAAAAATAAAAGTAGCCCACACAGTGCTTCGCGTCAGTCTCAAATTCCCCAGCTTTCGCAAAATCCCGACGATGTGAAATTCACGGGTTTTCCCTCAAACAACTGCATGTCCAGGACACAGGAAATAACTGTTACTAGACATTCAGCAACGTATGTATCAACAGGGCCCTGCTGGCTCATCACTCATGTTCTCCGACTAGTCTTATGTGTGCCATATGGTTCATAGTGCTTTGTGATGGTGATTGATTGTTAGCAGCCAGTGGGAGGGTGTGGGGGGAGGAGAGGAACATAGTTTATGTGCTCGGCACCTCATCACCACTGTACTGTGGCCCGGGTCGAGCTGCATATTTGTTTGCTTTTGTTTGTCTGCTGTTTTTGGGTTCTTGTTTGGGTTTCTTCAGTCTCTGGGCCAACCTGTGTCTCCTCTCTCACACAGTGAACGCTCACTCAACGCAATGTACGGCTTTGGATGTTTATTTTTTATGACGGGTTGAATCTAATCAGGGTGATGGTGACCTTTTGCATGGTTTTATTTGAATTAAACGTTATTACTTTTGCACACGTTTGTGTCGTGATTCTTCAGGGTAACTTTCAGTACGCTGAAGTGGTTTCTTGTGACTTAAGTAAGTAAATGTAGTTCTAAGCCAACCTCAGTAGCTCACCTTGTAAATGGCAGGTTCAGTTTCTCAAGCCTGTCTTAAAACAATATTTAGGTGCCCATATGAGAGGTGAAGCAGGTTTTTGCTTGCTTCTTGTAAATTAATGGTCAAAATAGAAGCAACAGGCCAAGATTCTTGCTCACTTATTTCTTATGAGTCCAAGTCCAAAAATGTTGGATCCTACATTTTACATTATTCATTCAGTAGCATCTATTACGCTCCAGCTCCCAATGTGTAATGCTGGCTTTCTATTCTGAGGGATTTTTCTCAAATATGATAAAGCCACTCTAGTCAGAAACTTTATTGCCCATGGTGTGGAACATTTTCTTTGGCTTTTACCACAACCGACATGAATTAGAAATAAGACCATGGTAGAACAGTAAAGACACTGGGAAGAGTTAAATAACTGTTGTACACTGACGTGTGTGTACAATCAGTGGAGTTCCCTAACTATGCCACTTTTAGACTTATTGTGCTAACAGACAATGTGATGAAAAACCCAAACATACCACAAAGTGTACCCACATAACCGCTTTTGGTGCTCTTATGCACCCAGCCTGTTACAATTCTGTCGTGGCAAAAAAGTTCCTATTGTCATTCATGTTAAAGAACAATAGTCTCTTCGATCACAAGTGGAGAGGCATCAGTGGTGAAAGTAAGCTGTGTGGAGTTTAGTTGCTGGGCGTGTCTCTGGGCTGAAGCGAGATGCTTCTCTAAGTGTAACCAGAAGCAGCATCCCCATTCAGCAGCTGTTGGTGCTGCTATCTGCCCTCTTCTCTGCAGGGAAACGGGACAAAGAGAGGCACGTGACCCGAGCTTGGGGCAGAAAAGATTGGTGAATCAATCACAGTGGGTGATACAGCCGGGTGCCCTTCACTCCCTTACATACTATACACAAAAGCTTTTATGGACTCAAGGAGAAATTATCCGCTAGATTCAATGCTGTATACAACTAAGCTGACTCCTGGCGATACATGGTTCCTGATCGACATGGATGGATCACTGAATGACCCAACCGGACACGGGGCCCAGAGGACCAGTGTCATTAGACTCCGCGGCCTTCACCTACAAAATGTCCCTCAAAAAGACACGTGCCAACCAGGAAGAGACATAAAACAACTACAAATTGATACAAAGACACTCAAAAGGCTTCAAAGAGACACAAGTGACTACATAGACACAAAGCAACCGCAAAGAGACACAAAATGACTACAAAGAGAAACGAATGACTACATAGACTCAAAATGACTACAAAGACACAAAGCAAATAAAAGGAGACAAAACAACAGAAAAGAGGCTTAGCAACTCTAAAGTTGGTAGGAGTGGTAGTGGGACCTTTTGCATGTCGGGACCCCATTGTCTCATAATCCACCCATGCATATCAATTATAAAACTAGAAAATTCCTAAAGAAATTTTGACAGTGTGGCTTCTACTGCCCGAAGAAATCGCAATATATACACACGCCAATGTTACCGGTAGTGTCATTCAGGTTCAATTGAGATAGCGCTACTCTCTTTTCTGCATTTTAGATTCATACTCTTGGACTGAATCTTGTATTTGTGGGGCTTTTATTTTGAAAGGGTGGGACTGGGTGGGTGAGAGAGGGGGAGAGGAGACAGAATCATAATGTTTGACACTAAAAGGAGAGGCTTCATCACAAGCATTCCAGTTAGAATTCATTCTGTGGGGCTTTTAATTTGAAATGGTGGGAGGGTGGGGAAGTCCTCTAAAAATATCTAAGACCTGAATGACTGTATGATAGAGAGAGAGACAGAGAGGGAGAGAGAGACAGACAGAAAAATAGACAGAGGAGAGAGGCTGAGTGAGACAGGCAGACAGACAGTTAGATGGACTGAGTGAGTGGGGGAGAGAGACAGGCAGACAGACAGTTAGATGGACTGAGTGAGTGGGGGAGAGAGACAGGCAGATAGACAGTCAATCTAACTGTCTGTCTGCCTGTCTCACTCACTCACTCTGTCACTCTGTCTCTCTCTCCTCTCTGTCTATCTTTCTGTCTGTCTCTCGCTCTCCCTCTCTGTGTCTCTCTCTATCTTACAGTCATTCAGGTCTTCGATATTTTTAGAGGACTTTTGTGATGAAGCCTCTCCTTTTAGTGTCAAACATTATGATTCTGTCTCCTCTCCCCCTCTCTCACCCACCCAGTCCCACCCTTTCAAAATAAAAGCCCCACAAATACAAGATTCAGTCCAAGAGTATGAATCTAAAATGCAGAAAAGAGAGTAGCGCTATCTCAATTGAACCTGAATGACACTACCGGTAACATTGGCGTGTGTATATATTGCGATTTCTTCGGGCAGTAGAAGCCACACTGTCAAAATTTCTTTAGGAATTTTCTAGTTATTATTAAGCCCAATGGATAATATACAGTGTGCTTTGGCACAGGCAGTTTTACTGCCTTGTGCCACAAAGCCACACTGAATTAGTTTATTGTGTGAATTTTTATGACAAATATCCAGAAACATAATATGAAACTGATTTGATTTGACCATTTCTTTTTAATCAGATGAATGTGACATCTTAAAGGTGATCTCTGTCAGAGTTCCATCTCCAATCCTTTTAACAGCTCTTAAGTCAGCTAGACAGCGTGGTCACTGTGTGTTTGTGGGACAGGAAGAAATAAGTGGACAGGCCCTCGGTCACTCTAATCATATCTGCTGTGATGGACAAGCTCTCCATCAGCCAAACTGTATCAGAGAGTGAAAGAGCAGACAACGTGGTGTGCCACTCAATCAGCATAATTGTATGTGAACAATTGTCAATTCACCCTTGGGCCATCTGACACACTGTGGGTCAGAACAAGTTGATGTATAAAAGTTTCTGTCTTCTGACAAACCAAGCCTTTATTGAATTACACTACAAGTTAGAATCTATCATTAGATTGCCATTCCTGTGTCTTCCTGACAAGGTTTTTGTGAAGAAGTGTCACCTGGACTGTTCTGCAGAAACAACTTATGTTAATGCGTTAGAATACGACCCACAACATGCAGCGCAATTCTTTAGATGTCACAGTGTGCATCAATACATTAAGTAACAGTAGATATAAAGGCACATCACGTGAAGTGGGGGGAATAAGGGGAACTTTAAATGTATACTGTATATATTATATTCTTTAACTAACAGGTACCTATTCCAATTATATATTACTACAGTACTGAACAACAAGCATGTAAGTATGTTTTGACTAACAGTGCTGCAGGTATGATGTATTTTTGTAGTCCAACAGGAAGTTAGCATCGCACTGGTTCCCTCCACAAAATGCGGGATTTTTCCATTGGATTTTGGATTATTACAGAAAATAAACTCTGAGGGAAACAAACATTCATGACACTTGCATGTTTTGTTCAGCAATATAATTATCACAAATTAACACCACTTTTAGCATTTTTGAAGCGTAAATGCTATCGACAGAAGTCAAAAGCTAATGTCAGGATATAAACAGGAGGCAGTTTAGTTAATTAAGAATAAGGTTAACGAGGGTCATGCATTGTGGTCATTTTGCTAAAAAGGGGGGATTGCATCACCACTAAACTAAAGGCAGACTAGTCGGCGTGATTATGTTTTGTAGTCTCATTTAGCCACTTGTTAGCAACCGCCTTTATTTAAGACACCTAAAAGCTTAAAAATTCAAAAGAGACGTGTTTGATATCGTAGAACAAAACATTCAAATCTCTTCAGCTCGTGTTCGTCACAGATCTTATTTCAGGCATCGAACTAAAAGCCTGTTTAAAACCCCCACGACTTCGAGACGAGGGAACCGCAGTGCAAAAATATGTTGACTCGTTTCTGGTACTTAGGGCTAGCTCCTGCGGCACTGGATTGCTGAGCAACGAAGCTATCTGTTCAGGGGAAGATGGCGTACACTAGTACTTTATGACTCGGCTGTGATTTCTGCAGTAAATACAGATGAAGTGAAAACCAGGAGTGTCAATCTCACAGCTCAGACAGGTGTAGAAGAAGATGATGAATTTGACCTCCTGTCACAGTGAAACTGTCATGAACAGTGAAGAACACAATCACGACAGTCACTGAGTCATGGATCTTGTAATATTTATAACACAAGACTAATATCTTGTTTCCACAAGTCGACATGTGAGAGCTGTGTATTTACTCATTTACTTGATAATGGACAAGGCAAGCTTGACTGAGCCACCATTTTGTACCAGCATTCAGCCGTTCAGTCATGAGTCAGAGACAATGAAAAGGCAGAGATACCAGTTCGTCCACTAGACCAAAATGGAACAACGGGACAGGTGTCTTTCAGTTTTAAATTCCTATCAGCACCTCGTGACCAGTAGGATCAGATCCTGTTCTGTAGAGGCAGACTAAAAGGATCTGAGGGAGGATTTCATTCCCTTTTCAGGCTGTGACCTTTACACTAAGAATCAGATGCTGTCATTTCTATTGAATGAACAAAACTCTGGAGAATACCTCTGATGTAAAAGTAATCAAACCTGTTCACTCCTCATTATCAGAATCAGAAACGGTTTGTCGCCAAGTACGTTACACATACAATAAACAGTGCAATAGTAAAAAAAATATGATAAACAAAGAAACCAATAAGGAGTACATATGAAAACCCAGAAGTGGAAGATGCACTGAAGTAAAAATAGATGTATCAAGAGAACTACTCAAAAGAAAAAGTACTGCATCAAAGTTCTGCTTAAAGCTACTACAAAGAACCTTCACTCTGTGTCCTAATAGAGCTCTGACTGCATGTCCAAGGCCCCGCTGAGGCTGAATACAAAAAAGTACCAAAAGTAAAAAAAAATACTTTAAATAATAGTATAATTATAATTATAATTATAATCCAATAATATAATTGTATAATTGTTATATAATAATATTAATGTGTTCTGGGTGAAAGTGTTTTTGGATCCATC